AATATATACATGATTACAGTTTTTAATGTTAGGAGCAATTAAACAGACTAACCCTACTCAAAATAAATATCCATTTTTATGTGTGTGTTGCCTAAATTCACTTGTAGCATTTGAAATGTTTGTTTTAATTTTTTAGTGATTTATTTTAAATTTATTTAGACAAAATAGAGTTTTAATGTTGGACATTTATTGGTTATCCTCCATAACGTGACAATAATTATCAGCATTTTAATATCATGCATCACTAAATAATATTCATGATCTCAGATTCGGATTTAAAATAGGACTTCTTCCTATCAAAGTTAAATGATTGCAGAGAATCGTCCCATAAAACTAGATTACAATCTGACTACAACAGATTTAGTGGTCCCACAAGGATCAGGTTTGTCTTGTACCGATGGCTGGGTCTTTGTCCAACAGAAAGGGCTGTTCTAGTTTCTCCATCAGACTTTGAGTCCTCTGAGAAGAGCTATCGATCGAGTGCCAGCATGCCTCAGGAAGTAAAACATTATCTTAGAGAAGTCTCTGTGGATCATTTTGAGTGAAGAGTGGTGCTGTGCTGCTTTTATTTGGTTAAGAGAGGGTTAGCATAACTTTCTTGATGGTACATTGTAGAAGCAAACGTACTTTTCCAATCAAAAGTTTGGGGTCAATAGTATATGTATTTTTAAAGAAATTAAAACGTTCTTGAGCAGCAGAATTGCATATTAGAATCATTTCTGAAGGATTATGAAACACTGAAGACTGGAGTAATGGCTGCTGAAAATTCAGCTTTACCATTACAGAAATACAGTTTTCTTGTACAAGGATCCTGAGTATAAGGATTCTGATGAGAATCAAGAAACACTACTTGTCAAAAGTGTTGAAAACCTAATTTGTTCAGTTTTTGTTGACATTTACACAGTTTAATGCACTTACATTAAAGCATACAAAAAATACTTGACTGGAGAAATAAGGAAATCAAAATGTAATCTAAATTTCTAAACCAAAGCCTCTTTTTGCAGATGTAACAGCCCATGAAAATATTGTTTGTAAAGCTGTTCTCAACATTTGCAAAGTTCCCAAAAACATGTTGTACTTGTACAGTAGGTATAGCATTACTCTCACGCTTGTGTCCAGTTCAAAATGCTGTGGTCGTCTTTTTGGTTCAGGGTGACACTTACTGTGTAAGTCACAGACTCTGGATCCAGCAAAAGAGTCAGAGACCATCACGCTTCCTCCTCCGCGTTTGACAGTTGGTGTCACACTAAGAGCAGCCATCCTTTCACCTACTCGATTCCTTATACAATTTTTATTATGTTCCAGTTTTTGTAACTTAAACATGTTTCTTGGCAGTTTTACCACTTACTTTTGTAACTTTTCAAGTTACTCAGTGTACTCGGACTGCTTAAATTGAAATAAAAACAGGAAACATGTATTCTAAAACATCATTCAAATTTATAATATTAGAAAAGTTGAAAATAGACTATTGCACTGCAGATGTGGACTATTGGGACTAGTAGACAACATCTGTATATATGTATATATCAGCATCATATCATATCAACATATAGCAACGTCATCATTCGCTTCTATCACCTTCATCACCTCCACCCACAACCCCTTTTACAGGCCTGAGGGTGCCTTGCACACCTGTGTGACCTCCATAAGGCCTCCTGCCCGGCCTGTCCACACCTCTGCACAGACTCACACACAATGATAAAAGGTGCCATCAACATGTTTGACCCATCAGCCCACACCTGCAGCGCAACGCAATCTATTTTCAGCTGTTCTAATGTTATGAAAGCAGTCTAAAAAAAGAAACCGAGAAAGAGTGAAGACTTCATTGATTTAGAAAAACTCTCCAACTACAGCTTGAGTCTTAAAGTGACAGTTCATCTTTCTTTCTTTCTTCCATCAAACACAAAAGGAGATGTTTTGCGAAATGAATAATGAAAGTGATGGTCCTGAACAACAAAATATGACCGATGTTTCTCCTTGCTGTCTCTACAGTGTTACAAAAATGACATCCTGCTCAGCATATAAATCAAAATGATATCTCGGAAACTATGAAGGATAAAGAGTACTGCAGTTCACATTATATATTGTTTACACACATAATTCTGAATTGCAACTTTAATGTGTTTTGTGAAGGCGAGCATTTATCCAGCGCCCCCACGTCAGAGCAGCTAAACAAAGAATCATTTTGCAGTGGGACCGGAGTCTGCTTTACACTTCAAAGACAACCGTTTTTAGAGATACGATCGCTTCTGAGTTGCCTCCCATGGTTTTAATGGGCTTCTAATTATTGCCATGGTAATGCAGTATGCCTCTCACCTGTTATTTTATTGGGCCGAGTGATCCCAAATCCTTTTAAATGGCTCATTAGGCAGCTTCAGGGGCAGACAGACAGCAAACCACATTACACATTTTCTTTTTTTAATAATGAGCAAACTAGATAATATTTTGATCCGGTGATGGAGCTTTTAAAAACTATTTATGTAAAAATGCTATATACCTGTCTGCGCTTTGATCAGATATCCATGATTAACCTGCAACGTCTGATACGACATATTTGAATTCATGATTTTGCAAGAAATTCCTCTGTTAATGATTATGTTTTGTAACTGGGTGAAATGATTTGTTATTTATATTTACTTAACATTAACTGGTTTCTTCCCCTTTGAAAGATGCATTTAATCCATCTTACATCTTAATAGTTTCTTACAGTGCTCTTATTGTTGTGATGATCTCTCAAGGGCACAAACAGGAACTTGCAAGTTCTCAGTAGCCTTTTTATATTTCCTGGACCGCTGTTATTTTCAGTTGAATCTATAACTTTCCTTTACCATTGTGCTACTTCTTTCTAAGGCTTTTATAAGTAGTGCTTGCTGAAGTAAGAAGAAATTTACCTGAATTGTCAATTTTATGATCTTGATTCAAGATGTTTTATGTTGAAATATCTGATAAATATTATGCATAATTTACCTATTTACATAAAAAAAATTCAGTTTTATGATACTGATACAGGATGTTTTATTTTTAAATATTTATTAAATAATATTCAGAAGTGCAACAATATTTTATTTGATTTTTTATTTTATTTTTCATTGTATTATCTTATTTTATTTCATTTTATTTGATTTTTTGTATTTTTTATTTTATTTTATTTTATCAGTAAAGCATCCCAGTCCTCAGCTGGCACAACCTGACAACCTCTCAGACCTCTGTGTGCTCCTTTAATTTAACAAATCAATTGTGCTGCAATTAATTATGTTTGCCTCAAGAACGCAATCAATTCACAGATCTTTAATCTAATAAATGGCTTAAAAAACAAGCCCTGTGCCAGACTTCAAACTATACACTCCCAATTTGTTGCTGTGCCAAGAGTGAAGAATATGGCAACAAGATGGAAAATCAATCTTAGTAAGATATATCTGTCCAACTTGGATTATATGTGCAATCGAGACTTCTGCAAACTGTCCATTTAGATGTTATAAGCAGCTCTTGTGAAGGTTCATCGTTGTGTGTTTCTGCAGGGTCAGGTGATGTTCAGGAACGGGGAACGCATGGGAACCATAAAATTCACCCAGTTTCAAGGTAAGTCCATTAGATGGTCATTTTTCATGGTTAACAAGCCTTTTTATAGGAAATGCTGGATCAAATATAGGTCCTTCAGCCAAAGTTGATCATCCTCCATCTTACATGAACATCTCATTCCGTGATAGTGTCATTTCGTAGAGTATGTGCGACAAATATCTCAGCATGACAATTGTGCCATACATCACGTAGATAGCCGGCATGCTCTGCGGCAGCGTTGGCGCCGTCCTATAGCTTAATGGGGTCACAGAATTCCCCTGCTCGACCCTCTGATGTGATTAATCCAGTGTGTGTGTGTGTGTGTGTGTGTTTCCTGAGGGCAGGGGAGATTAACTCTGGTTTGTGGGATTTAATCTTGGAGCAGGGATTCCCCCCTCGCACCCCACAGCAGCCGCAGGCCAGCATTCCCCACCCTCTTCAGTCTTATCTGCTTCAGCGCAGAGGCTCCCCCCTCAGTGTGTTACATCACCTCCTCAGACTGTATTTGTGAGCAGGCCGCAGAATTGGAGTGCTGTTTGGCTGAAGGGTGATTGAACTATCTGTCAATATGAAGGCGAATGGCAGTCAGGAAAAAAAGAAAGGAGACGCTGTAATCAGCAGTGCACTAGAGAGCAGGGCTTGAAAACTAAAAAAAAAAATCCAATCGGTCTCCGAGCAGAATCGATATTTTAACATTTCTGTTCCTGCATTCCCATTCCGAAACTGGTTTGCCTAGAAAAAATGACGGTTAATAATGTTATTTTTAAAACTTTTTCTTTGCCATAATAATAATAATAATAATAGCCTAATAATAATAATAATAAAGTACAGCGTTTTCTACTCAAAAAAAAAGAAGAAAAAAACAGGAAGAGATATCTTAACACGCTGCGCTTAGTCACAGCCAATACAGCATCATCTTTTCTAGATTTTGGCCAAATTATAGGCTACTAAACAAAAGAAAAAAAAATCTGTTAATGCTTGAAAGACATTAAAGTATTTTTTAAGATATTTAAAAATGTTTGCTGCATTTAAAAAATGCTACTCGTATAAGATTGCGTTTTGAGGGGGGAAAACATAAGTCGCGTAGGCTCACGTCGCATTTTATTATTAGGCTACATTCAGAAATAATGTACTAAAATGCCGGTAAAGCAAAATGTTTACAAACACCATATACAGTATATATATATATATATATATATATATACATATACATAGGCTATCTATGATAAACACAGTTATTAGTTTCCTTCTGTCCACAACAAATTAAGGTTATGTAGGCCTATATTGAAGTTAAGGCTATGCGTTTAGGCTATAAAAACGTCAATCGTCAAAGGTGAAACTGATGCCTACCTCGATTGGTACGAATCCAAATGTTTCCATATTTGCGACGTATCTGGATGCTAAAATATTATTTATTATGTAATAGGCTTTGTACTTCACTCACATCGACATCATCCTTCACATCGGCTATATCAGCACAGTGAGGCGGTGGTCACGCTGAGCGCAACAGATTGTAAGCCTACAACAGAGCAGTGTAACTTTTTATGTTTCTTTAACTGTATTTTATTTTTAAAATGAACAGGCTGCGATGTCGCAAAATATTTTGTGTATGTGTGCAGGTGAGGCGCCGGTGTTCTGACGATTTGTGCTACCCTGTAGGATTTTGCTACCTCCCATTAAAACAGATGGTAGCATAATTCGATAGCGAAAAGTGCTACCTATCAGATTTAGCTTCCAGCATGATATTAATAAGGTTTGAGGCTTTATTAACATGTGCACCTACCCCGACCCTAAACCTACCCTTACAGTAGGATAAATACAGTGTTGGTAGCATAATCTGATAGGTAGCATTATTTGTCAGAACACCGGCTCGGTATGTTCATACCAATGCTGGTTGGTTTTACAGATAGAAGCAAAACATCATTCAGAACTGTCAAGATTTGCAAAATAAATAAAACTGTAAAATTAATAAAACTGTAAAGCTTTTGCAAAATAAAGAAAACTATTTTCTGCTGTCTCGTTTTCCTTTACGTGAACTTTGGATAGCGTCACAATAAACCTAAACTCATCACATTTTTTTTCTTTTGTTTTGTTAATCTGTCAATGATTTAAGTGAAATACATTTTGTGTAGGCCAATATAGGCTATTCCTTTTTATGTAAGCCTATAGTTTTATTCTGTTTTCTCCATTCACAAGCGCTGCAGGTGCGCGTGATCTGTTGAATCCATCTTACACTATCCTCGGATAAACTCTAATGCATTGCCATTGCTACTTACCTATGGTGAATTTACAGCTGAGCGCGGGCATTTCACGCGTTGGATGCGTCAGCGTCACATTTGCATATTTGAATTCCTGATTGGTTGACAGCAAATTTCAAATATTAAATGGAACGATAAAATAACATTATTAACCGGGTAATGGCCATTTCAAATTTTCTATTCTGTTCGGAACTATAAAATTTGATTTAGTTTCTGTTTCTGGTTCTGGTCCTGTCACAATTTCGTTCGTTTCCGGTTTTAATTTTCGTTCCTTGAACCGGTTCAGAGCCCTGCTAGAGAGTGTCTCCTTCCACACCGAGAACAATAACAACTCACGCTGGCTTAAATCCCTCTATTACTGTGCTTTCTGTCTTTCTTCATCACTCACTCACTCACTCACACTCATATTCTCTCAGACGCTCTCTTTCGCCTTCATTATTTACTCACAGTAACTCACTCACTCATACTCATCATTCAACTATTTACTCATGCACTCACAATCTCATTCATATATTCATTCACTCTCACAAGCCGGGTTTCCATGCAAAATTAGAATATCGCATAAAACATTTGCGATTAAGCACCGTTTCCATCCAACAAAGTCTTCCTGATAAACTGGCACTAAATATCACTAAGAAAAGTAGGAAGAGCCGGTCCCCCTGGTTAGTCAAGTCAAGTCAGCTTACCAAGTTTTTAAAATTTGGCATTTCCATCACTCGTTTCTGATGTGACTCTTCAAAAAATGCATAAAAACAGGGTGATGGAAACATAGCTACATATTAATTTGTTTGTCTGTTCACTCACACTTATTTATTCATCCATTCATTAACACATATTTATTTACTTTCTCATTTATTAACTCACTTTCTCATGCACTCACTTATTCATTCGAAATATACTGCACAACTTTTAAAATCTGAGCAGATTTTAACGCTAGATCCGCCACGGGGTAAATTTTACCCGTGGCTGTTTTTAAAACGTACATAAAAGATTTTTAATAAAACTAATAAAAACTAATAAAAGTCTCCCAGTCACTGACTTTTACTAAAATTGTGTGATTTACAATCCCCTGTTGTTAAAAACTGTTTAGACAAAACCAGATCAAAAAACGGGGCATTTATACCTATAAGCGCCAGCGCGGGTCAAATTTACCCGCTATATAATGCCTGTATGTTCTTGCTGTCATTTTCGTGCCGCTTATGTTTTAACATAGTACATTGCTAGGCAACGCCTTTCACTCACTGAATTAACGGTTATCAGTTTCATAAATAAAGACAAAATGAGTAAAAGAAAGCGATTTATGAATGCTGAAGAGGTATAAGAAGCACTAAATGCCATGAGCGATGGAGAGTCTGATGGTGGGGAGATAAGTAAAGCGTCCTGTCGGCTCAGCATCTG